ACAAAACAGTTTGGGTTAAATTACCCTGGTCAGGAGAAAAACAAAAGCCTTGCACGAACTGTGAACCTGCTCAAATCAGTGACAAACAACCATTTGATACACATGCTACTGCAATCCAGGTCAGGTTTTCTGAAAAGAGGAATCAAGCTAAAAGCTTCAGGACTAGAACCTGGGGATTTGGGCAATACACCTTCAACTGTGGCAGCAGAAACTCCAAAAGATTTTATAAAGCCCTTAACTTCACGGCTTGGTTTGTTTATCCAGTGTATACATTTTAAAACCTTTACTATGAGATGAACTGTTAATTTTGAACAGTTTTCTGCCAGTGAGAATGCTGAACCTGCTAACCTTGTAACACCACTGCTATTACTCAGTAGCTAAACGTCCACTGATATCGGAAGTGATATCGCGAAGTCCCAAGTCAGCAATTTCAAGTCAATTCAAATTTTGAAGTCACTAATGCACTGCAAAACTCACTGATTCAATAACTGATACTTTCAATTGTACCTCCTAAACATTCTGACTCAGTAACTGGTATTTTTTAACCCTACCTTCAACAAGTTCATTTATATACAGGTAGGTAAATTAATCCACTAGTGACTCAGCAGATTTTGTCACCTTTCAGGCAATATTAAAGCTATTCCTGTCAAGACTTTGACTCTTACCAAATGCATTCTCATGATTCAGTATTTGAGTGTCACATACTTTAGTCATGCCCGGTAAGAAGAGGTTATATCTAGTGGGTTTAACTGAAAATCACATGGAATTCTGCTTAGATAACAATTTCTTTTCTGCATAAGAAAAGCAAGAGTCTTGAATTCTTATCTAACTCACTCCCAATTCAGCCTCTTTTTACTTAACACACACACACAAAAAAAAAAAAAAAAAAAAAGGCACCTAAGAATTCACAAGAACCTAAAATTTTCATTTGGACTTCTTCCAAAACTAGGTACTCTCTGTGACTGATCCATATACTTCTCCGCTCTCATCCCTTCTCTCTCTCTTCCCCCATCTCATCACAAAAGAATGAATTTCCTATCCAATTTTTTGAAGAACTCTAAAGATACACAGTAACACATACACAATTATAAATACATTTTACTTCTGGGTAAAAAAAAGGCACTGATTATCCAGAAATTATGAATCATTTCACCCAGCAACTGTTTGTCTGAAGAGATGGCGTTACCGCATAGCTCCATGCATTTCCTATGCTTACTTAATGAAAGTTTCACCTCTGAAGTTTGTTTATTCAAGATTGACACAGATAGCAGAAAATCAACTCTAACACAGAAAGCTTCTAATGTGGCTCATGCTGAGCCCTCTGCCAGCACACCTGCAGATATACTGAAGGTTTTACTGAAAAGACTACATTATCACAAAGTTATATACACTGTGCAAGATCCTACACAACTGTTGTGCTAAATTATCAGTTGATCTGTTTTCTGTATACAAAAGTATTTGATTTCACAGAAAGCTAATTTTAACTTTTGACTGAGAACAGAAATATTTATTACACACCATGCTCTCACAAATGGAAAAGGTTAAAAAGTTGGTAAACGTTGTTAAAAGGTTAGTTTATGCTTTTAAAGCAAGCATCTCAAGACTTTAAAAAGTCAGAATGCCAGAAAGCTTAAGATACATTCTATCAAGATCTGCTATATCATCTGAAGTCCTTTTGCCAGAAACATTTGTAGATAATAAATTCTCCTATAGCCCTTCCAAAGCCCTACATGCAAGAGGCGTTTTTCTTATTCTGCATCCCACATCTATATAACCATCCACATGAGTATGTAAGGCTAAGGATCAAGACTGTCCCTCATCCCTATAGCCTTTCCAAAGCCCTACATGCAAGAGGCGTTCTGCATCCCACATCTATATAACCATCCACATGAGTATGTAAGGCTAAGGATCAAGACTGTCCCTCATCTTTTTTCCTGTGATATATTTGTGAGAACAGTATCTTCTCCCAGTCATTTTTGTGCAAGGCTAATAAACAAGCTAGATTCTTCTAATTTCCTCTTGCTATAGTTTTCCTGACCATATGAGTAGACCTTTTCTGTACCTGTTTCAGTCTCAAGTCATCCTCCTTGAACACGAACAGGACACAGGAGAATTACGTTGGACCACTGCCATGTGGAACATCATTAAGAATGTCTAGTCCCTATTAAAATACATCTTCTGATACAGCCTCAGGGCAAAATCAGACGTTTAAGACTTGTCATCCTGGCAGCTTGGGACCACCTTTACAAGTGTCATATCCAGGTTTTCTTCCTTTAGTATTTACAAGTGATGAACTCATGACTTACAGCAGACACTTCGCTTATTGACTCTTTAAATTTTCAACTGTCTGTCTTCTGGACCATTCTTCATAGAGCAACGGAAGTTTCCAACACTAAATATACCCTGATTGTTGTCATATGTTTATGTTCTCACCACAAAGAAATACAAGTGCTTAAGAAATGCAACACTGGGTGAAAAAAACTAACACTGGAAAACACTTTGTTTCTGTAACAAAGTTTCCTGTCTAAGAAATAAGTTACCTATTTCAGTTGAAATTAAAGAAGAAATTAGAAAAACAACAATAACCACCAAAAAAAAAAAATCCAAGTTTTTGCTCACAAACAAAACTGTAAGCAACAGCAATTTCTATTACAGGTTCGTAACAGTAAAATGTTACACAACCGTAAGCTTATCTGGTATTACAACTCTCAACTGTAATTCCAAAAATAAAAGCTATGGAACTTGAGTAAATTAAGCCAACAACCAGACCACCTTTACCAATGGATTATTTGGAAACATATGCTTATTGCCATTTGTTACCAAGTCTTCCCAGGTCTGCTTTTGTCTAGCACCTGAAGAGAATCTTGCCCACACCCTTCCTTCCCACTAATACATCAGTCATATCTTAAGCATGAAGAAAAAAAAAATACCATTCTTTACATTTTCCACTAGCAAAGTTCTTTGCAGAGGTTAAAAAAACTTCTAAAAAAAAGAGGTTATTTAGCTTATTTTAAGGTCTATTTCAGAGGTTATAAAACCTCTAAAAAGAGGTTTATTTAACAAACCTCTTTTACACCATAAAAACTCTTGAACGAAGAACGGACAGATTAAACTTTATTAAAGTATGTGGGCACTTACACTTGTGGGACAACATTCTGATGTGAAATTTGTCAACAACTTCCAGGCAACGTGAACAACTCCCAGAGGTACAGACTAGCATTTCCATTTCATGTTGCATCTTTCCCAGTGCAACAAAATGCATGCAAACAACCTCAAAAACTTCCATCAGAGAAGACTTATTTGTTATCCCAGTATTCGTTTTTTACTGAGAAACAAGAAAAACTGCTGCAAGGAGGCAAGTGAAGTTATGAATTTGGACATTGTAGCCAAGTAACAAGAACATTATTAACAAGATATATAGACTGGATTTACATGCAAATATTTTTCAAAAAGGGGAACAAATACTAACATGCACAGAAGAAGAAGGGAGCTTAAGCCATTCCTTCAGACGTGATGACTGTAGCCTCTTTAGAGACTGCAGCACAGAAACTAGGCAACATGGGCAAGCTAGCGATTCACTGAACATACTGGCTGTCTGTCGTAGAGGACATTGGTAGGAGCAGAAGAAGGTTGACACAGACCTGACCCAGCATCTCCTTCACCATACAGCTGCAGGACTTGTTACTGCACATTAAGTGAAGTCCTGCTGCAATTCATGTTTGCGCATATTAAAGACACAAAGTAGGAAGAGCGAGTAACAGCACACAATGACAGGCAGAAAATCTCTATTTGCTTAGCTTCCGTGAATAAGGAATCTTCAGCAGTATGTAGGACACAACACTTAAAAAGATTTCAGGGCCATGAGTCAAGGAATGACTCAATTGGAGTTATTAATAGATCTGTTTAATAATCTGTTTAATAAAACTGCCCCGGTCAGAAAGAAAGGGAAGGCAGAGTCTGGACTCTGCTGCTTCTCCTTCAGCAGGAGAATGTTCAATGCAGCCAGTACTCACCAACTCACTTGCCTTTGTTTTTCGAAGGACATAAAAACATAGTTTCACTTTTTCACTCGAAAAAATTGGAAAAAAGCCTCAGAGACAATAACAGAACAGGAGTATTTTCTCCACTGATTTCAGTTCTACTTCAGATGTGCAATGCACACAGACTACTTACTTCCATTTCAGCAGGTTTATTAAGAGTTTATTGTCCTATATTATTTTGTGCTACTGATAGTGAAGGGAAAAAACACAAAGTCACCACCATCCACTTTTCAGGTTTTGAATGCTAGAAGACAATGTCTTAAAGCTGAAAGTGGTATTTTCTTCTCATGGGTTAGTAATATCGTGGCCTAGGATCACAGTGTAAACTGCATCTGTTTTAGTGGAAACCTGAACAAATTAAGATTACAACATACAGATATGTTTTAGCAAAAACAGAACTTCTACAAATAAGACTGCATTATTTTAAATAGCTATAAAAAGGTTGGTTTAAGGTGTTGGGTCTTTTAATCATTTTAATTATTATACTTTTTCTATAGTAGACATTATCATAGTCTAAATGCACCTAAACTGCTTTGGTTTTCTTTAAAAGAAAGTA